AGGTTTCCTTTTATTTCTTTTCCCTTCCTTTTAGTCATTAGGAGGAAAGGCAGTAATACTCAGTTTCACTAAACCCTTTCTGTGCTTCATTTTTATGACTTAGATACCAGCTCCCAAATTATGTACTTTCTTTGATTCTCTACAGAGTAAAGAAACAACTAATTTGAAGAAAATTGGAGCATGGGTTATTTCCTCCTTGTTTCCTGGTGTGTGACAGTTATCTCCCTGTGCACTTTTTGCTCACCCCCGGGGTGACTTCTCCTATTGTCCTTGATGAAGGTGGTTTTTAAGTTTGGCTTGTGGTTGCTTCATGATCCTGGGTTTTCAAAGTAACCGGAGAGTCTTCCTGTTGTCTTGGACACTATGCCTGTGGGTGAAGCAAGGCATACCTTCTTGCAGGTCTGTAGCTTGACTTGTTTGTTTATGTGGTGGTTTGTTCCTGTGTCCATGCACTCAGCACTAACTGAGCTTTCTAAGGTCAAAGGCCACATTTGCCTCACATCCAGCCCAGATCCTCACACTCAAAGGATTCCTGGGAGGCTCTGGAAAGATAAATGAAGGAGAGATCTCACTAGCTAGCTAGAGTCAGCTATACTCAGAACTGATAGAAGGCATCTTGTGTGACTTCAAGGGCTCTAGGACATGTTTGCAAGAAACCAGTAGCTTTCTGGAATTGATGGGTTTGTGCTTTGGTCTTATGGGAGTGGAAAGAGAATCTGGGGCTTCAGTGAGTCTAACGTATGAGTATTGACTTTAGAAAAACACCTGTTTCACTGAGTACTTTGTTGGTCAAGAAGAGGCATGGGTTTCCCTGTGTGATCAGGAAGAGGGATTTTAAAGTGGGGAGAAGTCCATGATGGAATTGTTGGCATCACTGGCTTGAATGACACCCATACATGTGGACATGAAGACAGTATTAGTGATGGGAGACAGAGGGGACAGTGAACTCACTAACAAGGGGATGAGGACTTGACTGGACATCGCTCTAAGGAAGACACACAGTAGGTTTACAGTCGCAGGAGGAGAAACTGAAGTGAAACAAGGCTTCACCCCATAGGATAATCATCAAGTAGAACTCGAGTTATTGGTGAGAAAAAACCAGACCCATGTGTGTGCCAGCTGAAGAGTCAAGTGGTATATTACTGTGGCAAATGATCTGGTGACCCCTCAAAAAGTGAATGTAAAATAAATGCACAATGCAGAAATTTCACCCTCTGCATGCTCGGAACATACAAAAGGGAGGCATGGCATTTGCATCCCCTGTCATATCAACATTATTCACTAGACCTACAGGGTTGGAGCAAGCCTTATGCTCATTGACAGTACATCGCAGGCGGCCAGGCTGCACAGTGGAGTGCTAGCTTGAAAGGAGAGATGATCTGGTGCAAACTGTTGCAGGGTGACCTCAAGAGCATTTTGATAAATGAAATAAGGCAGTCACAGAAGGACTGATTACCCAAGGCTCCCAGTCAGCTGCATAGAGTGAATGTACGAGGGCTTCCAGGGGACAGGCGAGGGGGTGGTGGGACGTGGAAGGGGGAAGTCATGTCAAGTGGGGGAAGACAAGGAGGGTTCTGCAGATTCTGCGTGGTAACCATGTATCAACAGACTGATGTGCAATGCTACGAACCTCTGCCCTAAAGGGATTAAAGTAGTGACTTTAGTAGGAATATTTTCTCTCAGTAAATCATCTTTTGGGTTGAAGGGTTTTTGTTTGTTTTGTTGTCTCCAAATAAATGTAGTCTTTAAAGCTCAAAAAATAAGTGGAAGAAATGGGACCATGCTCATTAATTATTCTACGCCCTGCTGGTGGGTTACTAGATGGGCAAGGTTACCCAGAGGGAAAATAACATATTTAGGGTTTCTTTTTGATTGTTTATGAAACTCTAAGGAGGTCAGTACTAGTTATGTTCCCATTTAATGGTTGGTGGACTGAGGCCAAAAATGGCAAGCCACAGTGCTGTGACATAGGTGCTAAATTGTATCTCTCTGTTGATCCCACCTTCTCTCCTTCTGCCCTGTCAGGCTGCGTAGACTTTGCCAATTCTCCCCTCTCTCTGATATGAGGGGTGTGCAAGCAGTTTTCTTTAATTTTACAAGCACCCAATTGTTAAGAGAAGCTTTTTCTTTTGCTAGCCGCTTTGGTTTATCCCCCGCCAGTCGCCTGGGCTCTGCCGCGCCAGCCTGGTTCTAGATCCGCATCAGTCCCAAATAAACACACAGGAGGCTATATTCATTATGAAGCTGTTGGCCTTGTTTGTCTCTTACTGGCTAGCTCTGCTTTAAGTAATTACCCCATAATTGTTAATCTAAGTATGTCTCTTACCGGAGAATAGTTCCATGCTTCCTACCCCCAATGGCATTACATGTTGACTCTCTTGTGTTTCCCCTTCCCAGAATCCTCCTCGACTCCTAGTCCCTCCTATCTAGGTTTTCTATTGGCCAGACAGTACTTTATTGACAAATGCACAGGCAAATAACAGGACTTCCCCAACACCCAATAGCTTTGGCTGCTTCCTCATTGCAAAGAAGTTAGTTAACAGAAGCAGTCGCTGTAGGATTGATACACCTTGCTGGATGACTGTGGAATCTGAGGGAGGAGGACTATGGTGGCTAGTTTTATGTCAACTTCAAACAAGCTGGAGTCACTGGAGAGGAGGGAGCCTCAATTGAGAAAACGCCTCAATAATATGGCTATAGGCAGACCTGTAGGACATTTTCTTAATTAGAGATTGAATGTGAGAGGGCCCAGCCCATTGTGGGGGGTGGGCACCCCTGGGCAGGTGGTCCTGGTCTCTATAAGAAAGCAGGCTGAACGAGCCATGGGGAACAAGCCAATAAGCAGCACCCTCTGTGGCTTCTGCATCAGCTCCTGCCCAGTTTGAGTTCCAGTCCTGACTTTCTTCAGTGATGAGCTGTGGTGTGGGAGCCTAAGCTGAATGAACCCTTTATTCTCCAAGTTGCTTTGGTCATGGTGTTTCATCACAGCAATAGTAAGCCTAAGACAGGGACCAAAGGTCGGCACCTCACCTTAACCTCTTAGAAACACTGGTGAGGGGAGAGTAAGCCCTGACTCCAGTAAGGGCACCATTGCTGAGCTCTCACATAGTGCCCAACTTGTCTTCATTGCTGCTCTGGACAGTGCTTTAGGAGGGTGGCGAGAGCCAGGTCTGCTGGGAGCCTTCTCTCTTTTACTTTCACACAGAATGAACATATATCAGGAGATGTGATTGGCCTTGTGTCCCATTGTTCGCTTCCTTGGCTTTCTTGGCACTGTCCTGTTATGTTCTAGTCTGTCTACTGTGCTGCTGGTGTTATGGCTAGGAGGCACTGAGTTTTGCCTCCATGCTTTCCTCTAACAGTTCTGTCTGCAAAGTTTGTTATTAATAATTATGCATGTCTGTGTGTGTGTTTGTGCATGTGAATGCAGGTGTCTAGGGAGTTCAGAGAGGATGTTGGATTCCCTGGAGCTCAAGTTATAAACAGATATGAGTCACTATACATGGGTGCTGAGAGCTGAACTCAGGTCCTCTGGAAGACAACTCAGGCTCTTAACTTCTGAGCCATCTTTCCACCCTGTAATATTTGCAAAGTCTGAATGTGAAGGACTATATAATAAATGTTTCTGACTTGGCCAGCCATAGAAAGTCTCTGCTGCAGAGCCTTCTCTGTTTCTATTTTGTTTTTGACTTATTCCCTGTAAGAAATATAGTGAAGTTCTTTGCTCCCAGCCCTGCAGAATAAGGTGATGACTAGATTTGTCCTAAGGGCCCTTATTGTCAACATCTGCTTGAGAACACTGCTGTAGAAGGCTCCATCATTTTAGTCAAGAGTTAGCTGGGCCTAGATTTCTTGTTACCATGGCTACTTCCTATGTCTCTCAGGCTACAGATCCCTGCAGAGTTGCCTTGTACTGAGTGGGGAACGTGGGAGGCACCAGCTTTTCTATAATGCATGTCCTCTGTCCTCAGAGTCTCTCTGCCTGTGTGCAGGGCCGTGGATGAGGCTGCTCGCAGCCGTTCCCCTGAGGGATCATGCAAGACTTGGAGGCTGGGGTCACAGTCCTGTAGGAGTTACCTCTTATGTTCATTCCTCTTCAGTCTCAGGTAGATGCAGCACATCTCCATCCTGCCTGCAGCTTCTTAGTATCCTCTCCTCTTGTACCATGCCATTACCCAGGGCTACGGCAGTTGCTGGGCATGTGTCTTCTCCCTGTTGCAGCAACACTCCAAAAAAAAAAAATGGTGGGGGCCCTCACTCAGCATTCTGGAGAATGGAGCTCTGCCTCTTTGTACCTTGTTAGTGTCCCTGTATCTCGCCCCCACTTTTACCCCCCCCCATGACCTTGGCCTCTCCAAGTATACAAAATTCTCATCTCAAAGGAATGGATGGGATGGCCAGACTGGACTGAGGCCACCCTCCTACTTTCCCATCATTCTTTGTAAGTGTACTCAGTAGGGGAGGTCATGGGGAAGAGCCTGGGGGGGAGATTGTGACCTCCATTGGTACCCTACTTAACTTTAGTCCCCTACCATCTTTGTACTGGTGCCTTCGTGTCCATTTGGGTGGTTCCTGCCACCTCTTCATTCTGTGTCCTGTTTCTGGCATGATGGAACTGCTGTTGTCTTTCTAGAAGGCCTCTGCTGTACTTCCCTCTGACCTCTCAGGTTTCTAGTCACCATCAGCCTGGGAGTAGAAGCTGGCCTTGTACCTCCTGAGTGGAAGCTGCCTTTCCCAGCCATCTGCTGATGCACAGTCAGTGTGTTATCTTCGTCAACTGTGCTGTCTAAACAGAGTGCATATTGGAGCCCCTTCTACCAGTATGTACAGCTGAGCACTGTTGAGACTCTTGATACCACAGGAACAGTTGTGTCAGACGCACAGTATGAGCTGGAGTAGTGTGACCCTCTCATGTTTGAGGGTCTTGAGACTCTCTGCCACCCAGTGTGGAACTTCATTTACTTGTGGGTATTGATTTGTTATTTATCTTAACTTTTTAGACTCTGGAAGCTGTCCTCAACTTCAAGTACTCCGGAGGCCCAGGCCATGTGGAAGGGTATTACCGGAATCTGTCTCTGGGACTGCATGTGGAAGTTGAGCCGTCTGTGTTTTTTACTAGAGTCAGCACACTTCCAGCAACCAGGTAACCAGGCTGGGGGTGGGATGGGAGAGCCTCATTACTAGTTATCCAATCTCACTGTCCAGAAGAGCCATGCCTTTGGCAGGACAGTGTTCCCTGGTGTTAGTGGGCAACTGGAATGCTGTGTGGGCAGACTTTGTGGTGGGGCTTTGCTCTACTGACTGCCCTTTCTTCAACAGGGGCTCTGTATAGTGCTTTGCTTATGTTTGGTACTGAGCTCAGCAGATTTGTTCTCTGTGATGCCCCCGTGGCTGGTGAGATGAAAGTTTTGTCTCAGAGCTCACTGTCCAGGACCACAAGGAACTACTAGCTCAGCACAATGCCAGCTCATTCTGTACAGGGAATCATTTCCCTCAAGGTACCCCTCTCTGCCACGACTCCTCCAGGCCCGATCTTCATTCCAGGAAAGAGAAGGGTGGGTTTGTCTGCTTCAGGGTCACATGTGGCAAGAAGGGCCATTGGTTTTCTCTTAGATTTCTCTTAGGTGACAGTCTCTCATCTCACTCTCGTACTGTGGAAGTGGCATCATTGCTTCCTAGGAGCCCTCGGGGTAGTTTATATGTGCAGCCTTGGAGAATGGGGTCCCACCTCCACTGAGCTCCACTAGATTGGTGGACTAGGTCATCATTGTGTCTGCTTAATTGAGCAAAACAGCAGCCTTGACTAATGCTCACCTGTCTGTATTTGGACCTTACAAATAGCACCCTAGCCTGTGCTATTCCTCTCATGTATTCTATAGGGTAAAATAGAGGTATGGTGTCCATCATAATGCTGACAGAAAAATCCATTTAAATGGATCTATCTCACTTACCCCCTGGCCACTGGAGAAAGACTTCAGTAAGAATTAATGGCTTATCTGAGCCTTTTAGCATCCCTTTTCATCATCTATCACTGTTTTGGTCCTCACTGCCAAGGTGGCTTCTACTTGAATTTGTATAAAGCTGGAAAGCTTCTGCCCCGGGGCACATTTGGCCAGCGCGCTAACAGCCAGTGTTAGGGTGTGCCGAACCTTCTGCACACAGCCCTGCTGTATCATGCCTGCCTTTCTTGCCTCTTCTCTTTTCCCACTACCACTGCCCATCAAGACTTCTCAGATGTGGCTCAGGTTGTCATGGATTCTCTTTTGTACCTTGTTGCTACATCATGGTTCCTGTAAATGGTAGTGTAAGGCTGAAGTGAACTTGGAAGCATTGGCTGTTGGCTAAAGCATTACTTTGCTCTTTGTTCCCAATCTGTAGCTTTCATCTTCTCTTCTTTTGACCTGTATATTTCTCTTTCTAGCTCTTGGATTTTAGAGTTCACTTCTGATCTTCCGTTTTAAATGTTCCAAGTATAACTGATCTCAAAATCCTGGGATGAAATTTCACTCTCTCCAGGTTACTCATCACTGTGTATCCTTTTCCCCATGGAGGGTTGACCAGTTGGCTCCAGTCCTGCTTGTTGCCAGGTCCTACCCAGCCTACAGACAGATCCAGTGCTGAAGAGACTGCATTCAGAGTCGCTCCCACTCTGCTTGGGATAGACCTTCCTTTCTCCTGCTTCTCCCTGTGTCCCTACCAAGTTATAGTACAGCCACTCACACTTGAGCTGTGTCAAAGGTGGGTCACTTCTGCGGGTTTCAAATTCATCTTTTCTCTAAAGGTGTCCCTTTTATTAAACTATCATTTTTTTTCTTTTTTTGGTTTTAGAGACAGGGTTTCTCTGTGACTTTGGAGGCGGGCCTGGAACTAGCTCTTGTAGACCTGGCTGGTCTCGAACTCACAGAGATCCACCTGGGATTAAAGGTGTGTGCCACCACTGCCCCGATAAACTGCCATTCTTTTATTTAATCCTTTGGAAAACATCTGCTTGCCTGTGAAATCTGTTTGAATTTCTGTAGATTTTCCTAACAGAAGTGTGTGTGTGTGTGTGTGTGTTTCTGTGAGTCCCATGCTTTCTCACTTCTCTGACACATTGTATATCAGATTCCTAGGAACATATCTGCCACATTTTCATCCAGCACCCCCAAATACCTGGTGCATCCTTTTTGGAAAAAGAGGTAGATAGAGCCACTTCTTGCTCTTCACCAGCCTGTAGGAGCTTGTCACGCAGAATTAGCATGGAATGGGGACACGAATGTACTCACAGGAGTGATAGAGCAATGGAATATTAGATAAATGAATAAATAGAAAAGATCTGAGCTCCCTCTGAGCTGGGAGTGGGGAGGAAGAGGAGAAACGAACAAGGAATGGGTGGCTGAAAAGGTTACAAGCAGTACAGACTTTCATGTCTATGTCCAAAGTTGTCCCAGTGCAGACAGATTCAGCACTGCATTTTAAAGTGGAGCTTGTCAGGTTCCATATGGCAGCAAGACACTAACTGTATGCCTCTTACAAGAAACCAGCATCAAATATGCACAGTAGATGTAAACACTGATATTTAGAATGTTAGTATGGAGTTATTAATATTAAACACATGGGCTTTCAAGAAAAAGAGAAGGGAAAATTTGTATTTATTGAAGAATTAAGTGTGGGGATTGAACAATTGAGTGTGGGAGGGAGTTTTTTGTCCCATCCCTGTCCTGTCCCTGTCCCGCCCCAGTCCAGCAGCCGTTTAGTCGAAATAAACACACAGAGCCTTATATTAATTATACACTGTTTGGTCGATGGCTCAAGTTTCTTACTAGCTAGCTCTGTCTTAATTATTAACCCATTTCTATTAGTTTATGTATTTCCACATGGTCTTAACTTACCAGAGAATTTCCAGACATCCTATCTTCCTGGTAGCTACATGGCTTCTACCTGGTAACTCACTCTCTGTGATCCTCTTCCCAGAATCCTCCTAGTCTGGTAGCCCTATCTATACTTCCTGCCTGGCTACATCCTACCTGTCCATTGTCCAAAACAGCTTTATTCATCAACCAATAAGAGAAACATATATTCACAACATACAGAGGGATATCCCCCATCAAATTGAGTTCTCAATAGCATATTACAGTCCTAAATATAAATAAACTTAAAAACATAATTTCAAATAAAACTAGCACACAAAGGGGAGAGACAGATAACCCAACAGTGTACCTGACAGTTTGAGAATCTGATATGACAAGTATACAAAACAAAACAAAAGCCACAGGAAAACTAGAACCAAACTAGACATTTTTGTTAACAAACTCCACCTTTTTATTTATGGAAGAGTGAATGCTTAAACTAGAAATGAATGGCTTGATATCAATGGTGTGGTTTCTGAACCACACAAAGAAGAGTTCAATACTCCTAGAAGAAATTATAGAGAAGAAATTATGTCAGTAAAATGGGGTGTGAAAGAGAATTTTTGGAGTCAATGGACCCAAAAGCTGATACTTTAAAAAGACTAATAATAAAATTAATCATGACTAGAGCATTAAGGGGAAAGAGAGGACACACAAATTGCTAGTAGGAGTGAAAGATGCAGCCTTTATGAGTTTTATATATGCCATATTTGGAAATGTAAGAGCCCTGTAGAGAGCCCTGTCCCAGTGAGTTTGACAACTTAGGCAAAATGGATCAATGTTTTGAAGGAAGAAAGTGGACAAAGTACAAAAACTGACACAAGAAGAAATAGAACATGTGACTAGACACTCTCAATTAGAAAGTTCCCATGAAGCATCCCGTGGGCCCAGATGTCTTCTCCAGATTCAAAGGCTGAGCTGAGAAGCAAAATACAAGTCAATTTCAGCCACATGGAAGGTATAATAGAGTACTAAAAATTCCTATTTATCCTAGAAATACATGTAATGTTTTTTTTTTATTTTGGTTTTTCGAGGCAGGGTTTCTCTGTATTGTTTTGGAGCTTGTCCTGGAACTCACTCCATAGACCAGGCTTGGTCTCGAACTCACAAAGATCCACCTGCCTCTGCCTCTCGAGTGCTGGGATTAAAGGCATGCGCCACCACCACCCCGCGAGATAATTTAAGGAAAACCATCTAGAAACAAGCCAAGTTAAGGCTGGGCGTGCATAAACCTCTGTGTATTTATTTGGGATCTGGGTGTTGGGCCCCCAAAGACCTAAAGTGCAAGATTTATAAAAAACAAACAAAATAACAACAACACAAACAAAAACTAAAATCAGCAAGTCATACCATAAAATATACTGCCACATTTGAACAAGTATTTTTCAAATGGCCTCAGTCACCTGAAACATGTCCTATGTCATTAATTGTTAGAGGACCACGATGTAAACCTGTAACTAGGCTCCACTGTATACCTCCCAGAATGGCTAGCATGAGTAATGCTGGCACCAATCAATGTTGGTGAGGTTAGGAGTGAGCTGCGATTTGTGGACATTCGAGTTGACCAGCAGCTCTTCTCGGAACTTTTAAATACATGCTACCCAGTAAGCTGCCAGTTTCATTTCTGCATGTTTATTTTAGTGAACTAAAAAATATCTATCTACAAAAAAAGACTCATGTAAGAATTTATACAACAGCTTTATTTTCTATAACTCCGGTGTGGAGACGACTGTGAATACCTGTCAGCAGAAGAATGGGTGAGCCTTCTTTGATACAGTCCCACAGGGAGATACTGCTCCCAAGCAAAATCAGCTTCTGGGACATGATGCCTGTGGAAGGCGTCTGTGTTCACACTTCCAGACAGTGACACCCTCTCTATGGTTAGAGTGCTTTGAGCTGTGGCTAACTATGGGTTGAGGTCATGGGACGCAATAGGCTGAGAAGGTATTAGGGTCTGTTCTTCTCTTGGTTTTCCTAGGCTGTGCCTCTGACACTCCCTCTCCCCAGGGAGGATCCCAGTTCTAAGCAGACCAGGTTCATTGGTCATCTGAGAGGGCCAGTGTCTTTCTGCCTCAGTGAAGTATTGTGTGTCTAGTAGGGTGCTATTCCAAGGGTCAGATAGTCTGTCTTGCATATCTTTGTCCCTCATCCCATGTAAGTTGTCCCTTGACTTAAAAAAAATAGTTCTCAGATATAAAACTATGTGTGCTACCAAAGAGGGCCCTTAATTTTTATGGGAGAGATCTGGAAAGGT